TGATGGAATGGAGACCGATGGGAAGAAGGATGAGAGGGAGACCACGGAAACGATGGATAGACGACGTGGAGGAGGATGTGAGGACGATGGGAGTAAGGGGATGGAGAAGAATTGTGAATGATAGGACAGAATGGAAAAAATTCATCGAACAAGCTAAGACCCACACAGGGTTATAACGCTATAAGAAGAAGAAGAAGAAGAAGATTCACGCTCCGGCTGTTTTATACGAGACAAAATAAATCTTGGTACCTACGGGTGTATCCATAGGATATCGGGGCGTGGGGAAAGAATTAGATCCTTCCTAGGAATTTAACTTCAAAATAAATGAGATTAGATCATCTAGTGCCCAGGACAGGAATGAGTAGGAGCTATACGGCCTCTTCCCCCTCCCCCAAGCGACCTACATGGCGTGTAGCGGGACTTCTTCTGCGTTATTATGTGTAGGATCTTACGTTTCTAAAAGAAATTTACAACTTACAGAAGATGACATGGAAAGTTAGAAATACTCGACACACCGAAATTTTAAAAAAAGTATTTGTTACTTAGTACAATTTATTTTTAATGAATTTGTAGGCTACAAAAATAGATTTTTAAATCGTCTTCGTCGTCTTAGTGTCAATTTGTGGAGGCAAATCTTCTGCTTTGTATTTTATTAATACTTCAGTGCAAGAATCTTCCGGTGACTCCGACTTACCTGAGAATGCTCTGGTGGAATCGAATATGCTCCTTAAGTTTTTCCTGTTCCGTGTTGGGTTTCAGCTCTTTTTCATTCCTGAAGTTTTTCAGACCCTCTTGAAGTTTCTCCAGCTGAGTACACGCAATGGCCACCAGGGTCGCGTAGAGACCGACAAATCCCGTAAAAATTGTCACGTCGACTAGAGTTGATAACACCTGTACGTATCAACATTAAATTAAAATTTCGGGTTCTCAAGGTGACGAGTATGAAGAAGTTCCATAGTGTAGTCTCATAAGAACTTATCGACGTTTCAGAGGTACTTGGTCTCCAGCAAAACTCATAGCCCGGATGATCATGGCAGTAAGTACCACTGAAACGTCGGTAAACTTCTGCCGGACTACAGGGCGCAACATCTCAGAAGACAGTCATCTTCAGAACCTCGAATCTCACCGAAAAGTTTCGGGAATTGTTTAGGGAAATATTCGCTCTCTTATCTGAAAATCATGTTGAGGTTAGAGTAGGTATATTTTTTTTTACAACTGTGGATTTTAAGTAGCCTGTATTGGTGGTTAACATTGGAGGTCGGTGGAACTGACCAAGGGTCATGTCCAATGTGGTTTTCAGACTGTGGCCCGCACCTGAATGATGACAGTGATTTCGTGCACTGGACTCGGTCTGGCGTCGTACGGGGTCCACATTCTGAGTCCCAGTTTCTCGGTCCCGATACTCCTAACAAACATGTAGATGCTGTGAGGACCCAGCACAAGGCACGTTCCGAGTATCGTCAGTTTCTGGATCCAGGGTATCATCCCCGCCGTGGTGAGCCGACCGGTACTCGCGTCTCGTTCTGGACAGTCCTCGAAGACAAACGATTCAGTCAGACGAATCAAATTATCGATGGAATGTTTGCGAAACCTACAAAAGACGACGTACGAGTTATTACTTATTCATTTACTTGGTCGTGATGAAGCTTAGAGTATCTGAAATAATTACTTTGTTTCAGACTGCCCTTTGTCTGAGCTATGTTCTTTTCATGTGACCTGACGGGAGTTGCCTCTGTAGGTGATTGGTTGTCATTACAGCTACTGACAGGTACTGACGAGTTGTCATTTTTTTTAAAATTTTATATTAGTGGCAACGGTTAGGATTGAAACTACGATCTTTGAATATGAGGTTAGTATGCTAACCATTAGGCGTTATACGTCAGAAAGTGGGAAATGTCCAATTGGACAATTTTCTCACACACAGTTTACAGATTCATAATCATTTTTGAAACCAAAGGAGTTCAGGCTAAAAAAAACGAGTTTTCTAAAAATTTGTACTCTACTGAAGCATTCGTCTTTACACCGTTTATACTCGGGACGATTGGACAACTAAACCACACTAGCAACATGTGACCTTGAGCTACAGCAAGACTGGGTCTTAGCAGTGTTGCCAATATTACAACGAAAATATTCTAATATTGCCCATATTTTAAAATCTCTTCTTAAATCTTCTGCTTTGTATTTTATTAATACTTCAGTGCAAGAATCTTCCGGTGACTCCGACTTACCTGAGAATGCTCTGGTGGAATCGAATATGCTCCTTAAGTTTTTCCTGTTCCGTGTTGGGTTTCAGCTCTTTTTCATTCCTGAAGTTTTTCAGACCCTCTTGAAGTTTCTCCAGCTGAGTACACGCAATGGCCACCAGGGTCGCGTAGAGACCGACAAATCCCGTAAAAATTGTCACGTCGACTAGAGTTGATAACACCTGTACGTATCAACATTAAATTAAAATTTCGGGTTCTCAAGGTGACGAGTATGAAGAAGTTCCATAGTGTAGTCTCATAAGAACTTATCGACGTTTCAGAGGTACTTGGTCTCCAGCAAAACTCATAGCCCGGATGATCATGGCAGTAAGTACCACTGAAACGTCGGTAAACTTCTGCCGGACTACAGGGCGCAACATCTCAGAAGACAGTCATCTTCAGAACCTCGAATCTCACCGAAAAGTTTCGGGAATTGTTTAGGGAAATATTCGCTCTCTTATCTGAAAATCATGTTGAGGTTAGAGTAGGTATATTTTTTTTTACAACTGTGGATTTTAAGTAGCCTGTATTGGTGGTTAACATTGGAGGTCGGTGGAACTGACCAAGGGTCATGTCCAATGTGGTTTTCAGACTGTGGCCCGCACCTGAATGATGACAGTGATTTCGTGCACTGGACTCGGTCTGGCGTCGTACGGGGTCCACATTCTGAGTCCCAGTTTCTCGGTCCCGATACTCCTAACAAACATGTAGATGCTGTGAGGACCCAGCACAAGGCACGTTCCGAGTATCGTCAGTTTCTGGATCCAGGGTATCATCCCCGCCGTGGTGAGCCGACCGGTACTCGCGTCTCGTTCTGGACAGTCCTCGAAGACAAACGATTCAGTCAGACGAATCAAATTATCGATGGAATGTTTGCGAAACCTACAAAAGACGACGTACGAGTTATTATTTATTCATTTACTTGGTCGTGATGAAGCTTAGAGTAAAGGTCTTTGAGGAAAACATCTGAAATATAATTACTTTGTTTCAGACTGCCCTTTGTCTGAGCTATGTTCTTTTCATGTGACCTGACGGGAGTTGCCTCTGTAGGTGATTGGTTGTCATTACAGCTACTGACAGGTACTGACGAGTTGTCATTTTTTTTAAAAATTTATATTAGTGGCAACGGTTAGGATTGAAACTACGATCTTTGAAATATGAGGTTAGTATGCTAACCATTAGGCGTTATACGTCAGGAAGTGGGAAATGTCCAATTGGACAATTTTCTCACACACAGTTTACAGAATTATAATCAATTTTGAAACCAAAGGAGTTCAGGCTAAAAAAAAACAAACGAGTTTTCTAAAAATTTGTACTCTACTGAAGCATTCGTCTTTACACCGTGTATACTCGGGACGATTGGACAACTGAACCACACTAGCAACATGTGACCTTGAGCTACAGCAAGACTGGGTCTTAGCAGTGTTGCCAATATTACAACGAAAATATTCCAATATTGTCCATATTTTAAAATCTCCTTAGTAAATTAAGGAACAAAGATAATCTCTAAACGTTAAATCATGCGCTCAGAAGACAATCAACCTGGTGAAAGCGTCGATCCAAATGCAAGCAGAAATTGGTATTGCGATTCTAGCCGACTCCAGCATCTCTTCGGGATTGTCCAGATGCATAAAAGTCTCAATAACTTCTCCTACCCAGCAAACATAATAAATTGTCGCTATGGCAATGGAGTACATCCGGTAAGCCACGGATTGGCCGTCACCCATCAGGGGGTTCCCCGCTAAGATGAACAGAATCCGAAACGAGCGATAACGTTTTTCGGTGTACATTTCGTCTGTCTTGAGCCTACAAAGTAAGTCTGATTGCGGTGAAACGAGGTTTGATCTCGCCCGATCACACCAGTCCGCGTGACGTCACCATCAATATTCCATTGGGTAGGAAGTTAATAAATGATCGAACGTGTCTCTCTGGTTGCTGTGTCGTGTATAAATGATGGATGGCGTTCGTGAGAATCTTCAGTTTTTGAACAACTGTCTCGGTGTGAATATGGTAAAAGTTTAAAATATCTCCTAGACAACGAACTTACCCTCAAGCTTGCCCCGAGTTGGGCACTCATGGGTGACGTTAAACATGCACTCGGTAGACCTAGAGATAGATGCTGAGGTGGATATTGAAGAAAACGTTGTGGGTTGGATTTGTATCCACCGAGAATAGAGACCAATGGTGGACTCTTACTTAGACGGTAATGATCATTCAGATTTTGAATATCTTGACCAGCTGAGCGACTGTTAGCTTCTGAATTAGAACCCTGTTTCACGGAGTCAGACAAAATATAGGCATATATGGAAATTATGTGTTGGTTTTTTTTTAAACTGATGATGGAGGAGGTATGTGCACAAATTTATCTAACTGTCCGTGGGTTCACTAATAAAATTACCACTGTGTACTTTCTGTGTGATGTAGTATTGTGTTTAACCTTGCTTATGGATACGCCTGATACATAATGCAGACAAAGGAAGAAACTTTTTTCCTACGATATTTTTAACACTCGTCAGTTCCCATGTGAATATTGTAAAAGTTTGTACTTCAGTTACTTCGAGAATTCTGTTTGTATTATGTATAAAGTGAATTCCACAAGATTTTATCGTGTCAGAGACTACAACTTGCGATCAGGAGTTTCTAAAAGAAAAATCCTCTAAATTTGCACCACTCACAACTTATGCTATATTTTACAGGGTTTCAATTTTGATTCGTAGACTAAGCATGGCATAGGCCTGGAACATCGAATGATGATGATAATGAACGGTGGTTACAGGTGTGGAAGAATGTGGCCGTACACTCCTCTGTGATAATATCCTGATACTCAGCTGGAAAGACTGAGGAAAACCGTAAAACATCTCCTCACAAATTCGTAGAACGGTAACCCTCTCAGTTTAGAGGCCTAATGCTGCAAACTCAAACACATTGAGAGGATTCAATTGTTTGTCATCAGAAAGACATTTAAATGATTTAAGATCAAAGAAAATTGGAGACCCCCGTTGGTCAGCCATTTTATACTTTTACAGGGGCGGAGCTTAGGAGCAGAGAGGGAAGTGGATGCGGGTTCTAGAGGAGAGAGAGAGAGAGAGAGAGTGAGTGAGTGAGAGAGACGGAGAGTGAGTGAGTGAGTGAGTGTGTGCGTGTGATTCTGTTATGAGATGAAGAAAGAGGTTGTGCTTTCCATTTTTTCGATCTGTTGTGATTGTCATAATTTCCTGCTTGATCATTCCCAATTCATATTTATCTTTCACGTCTTGCGCTATTCAACATTTCCAACCAGCATGGAATTTTCCATTTGGGTTCGTACAAGTACACGCGCACTCTCGCTACACTTCAATAGTTGTTTATTTCTCCACGAGATGGCAGTAAGATGTTGATATGCTTGCCTTCCACCTCCCTTCCGTCATGTCGTTGGATTCCAAATTATTTTAATCAGCAGGAGATGGTGGTGGCGCGTTGAAATGTGAGACTTTTCAATCACTGAACATCCCGTTAAATATTACTAAAATGACGCTCCACTGTAATCTAAATAATTATTGTTTCAGGATAATTTAAGTTTAGCAAGGGAAATTTCTCTTTGCGCGATGCATACACTGTCGTAATTATGGCGCGCCTGCCATTGGTTAGAGGTGTGTAAGATTGTGAATCTAGTGGGTTTATCTTATTTTGACTGATATTTGTTTTGAATTTAATTATAAAGTTGATAAAAATTAAAGGATATTTTAAAGTGTAGGATTGATGGTGACCGGTGAACCAAACTCTTCTTCGTAAGGACAAGAACAAGCCCTTCACCACCTGTTGTAAATAGGTTGGTATTTCATAGTAATTAAAATGTTGAGCTGCGAGAACTTTCCGAAGTTGGGGTTTAACCCAGCACAAAATTTACAGTACATGGAAGAGGTGTCTGAGGAATATGCAACATGTAACATCACGATGGGAGTTTGGAGGATGAGGATTTTATTCAGAATTTGGTCATGCAGAATATGTTGATGGATGTTCCTGCTGCAAACATAGGCGATGGGTAAGTTTTAAGTTTTTAAAATTTTGTATTTTGTTTTTAAAAATTACATTTTACTTTCTAGTCATGTGTGTTCTGTTACCTTAGGAACTAGTGAGGAATGAATGTTGAGGGCTACTCGTAGGTCTTGGTATGTTCTTGCTACTGAACATTTAACCTAAATTTTTTTTTAAATAATTTCAGAAACATTCAAAATCTGAAGAAATGTCAAAGTAATATTAATAAAATTTAAAGAGAATTATCAAAAATTTTCCAAAATTTTTTTTTTTTAGTTTTCGAAAATCATCAAAATATTCGAAAATTTTTAAAAAAATTAAAAACTGAAACGTTCTCTAAGAAATTCCAAATTTTCATAGATTCTGAAAAAGTTTAAAAATTTTCGGAAGTTAGCAAATTTTTTTAAACATCGTCATTAAAAGAAATTATCTTAAGAGAACTGATTGAAGTATGCTAACAGTACAGGAGGTGCTTAGTTATGTGTAAATATTACACATTGAAGGACATTCAGACATTTTTTCTATGTCTATTCTTATATGTACTAGAAAGTAGAAAATCAGGATTGTGGTGTTGACAATGCTTGAAGTACATTTTCATGCCCACGTAATTTTGCTTCCCTCTTATGGATAGTTGAATTTCCTGTTTTGAAAGCGGAGAGTCACTCTTTGTACCACTTTGCAGTGTTTATAATGTGCAGAATAAGCTGAAAATTAAACTCATTAAAAGTTATCTTAAAATATATTTTCATTTTTAATATAAAGATTTGTCCATTGCTTGGATTA